AGAGCTGGAGTTATTATGCTGCCTACACCACTACCGCCACTGGGAGTTGGGGTTGGAGTTGAACCACCGCATTGGCTCTGGCAGTTGGTTCCGCAGTACTCAGCAGTGGAGCCGCACCACCCGAATTCGCTACAACAGAGCCCATTTGGACACAGTGCACCCCCTGCTTGTTTTCCACATTGCTCTGCTGATGTTCCTAGCACAAAAATTGCTACAATGCCGATGATTAACACAGCAAACAACTTCATTTTGTTCGGATATCTTAGCATTAGCATGTGTTTGCTTTTGAGTGCATTATCTAGGGGATATATATAGGAACAGAATTACAAAGCCGTAGCGCATTCGTTCTTCTTTGTCTGCTGATCTGTTTGTTAATTTAGGGCTGCTTTACTTCATTGGGTGGACCGTTGAAAAAAAGACCACGCCTCTTTGGACTTAGGAAAATTTCATGGGACAGGGTGTCCTGTCCTTGTTCACCTGTTGAAGTGATCATCACAGAAATTGGACTTAGCTCAATTGATAATGTCATGACCTAAAAACTATTGAGCATCAACATTTTTTTGGATGAACCATTGACTATCAACATTGATGTTTATTTTTTCAGAACATCTCATGATTGAACATGAATATCAGGAAAGGGCTTTATAACTGGTGACACAAGGGAATAGGTAAAGTTGTATTCATTATTTTTTTATTATTAATTTATATAAAAAATTATGAAAGTAAATTATTTTCAATATTATGACATGTAGGATAATTTAATTAGATAATTGATAAAACTAAGTTAGCTTTCATTTTTTTTATACAAATTAATAATAAAAGATATAATAATTACATTCTTAATTTATGCACTTAAAACACCAATTAGAAAATTCATATTAAGAAATAGTCATCCCTCGTTCCTAAGTTTATCTTTTTTTATAAGTCTTTGGATTAAAACTCAAGTTGTCAAGAAAGAGGCTTAAACTCTTACATTCTTTGTATCAGAATAACTATTATTTTGCTAACGACCTAAATAACTCAAAAGTTATCTCGTTTTGCTGAAAGTAAGAGAATCTGAATTTGAGTCGAATGATATGTAAGTAAGATAAGATAAAGAACAAGAGATAATTGTCTCTAATTGTGCAACTAAAATAAATAATAATAATAATATTAACGATTATTTTTTTATTTTAAATTTGTCTTAAATTAATTATTATTTTTTTATTTTCGAGGTAAAGAATTATTTTTTTCTATTTTAACTTTATCATTATATATTCACTTTAATCAACCATCTAATTACCAAAAATTTCTCTTTATCTTTTATTTTTTTAAGAGTATTACAAATAAATATAATTATTATTAACAAATTTTTAATTTAAAGAAAAAATAAAAGAATAATTATTGAGACTTTCTATGTCTAAGATGAAGATGTCTCAAGTATTAAAAAAATCAAGACTTTAAAACTCTAAATTAAAAATCAAATTATCAAATTATAACTTTAAAATTAATAACAAAAGATTAATGGAAGGACAGAACTACCCGCCATACATTAATTAGTGCTTATCATCTGTTGTTAAAAAACAATAATAATAATAATTGAGACTTTTGATCCCCAAATCGCTCCCCACAAGTGCGTTATGTATTGAAATACATAGTAATGCAATCAATAATTTCTTATTTGCGTGCGCGAAGGGGTCATTGACTCTCGACGGGCTAGAATGACATGATACGATCAAAAGATAATCATCCACAGTCTAAAGCATTTCATTATCCCTCAACTGAAAAAGTACAAATAAATGCAACAAGAAGTGTAAAATACGAAATATTTAAGTCTATTGTCAGCATACACAAAGAGTGCCAAATTCGTATCGTCCTCCCTCCTAAAATAAAAATTATAATTAAAAAAAAAAAGAAAAAAAGAAAAAAGAAAAAACCAGCAATGCTCTCCTTTTTACACATGAATCTTGCTATTAATCCTCAAATTAATCAACTCTAGGTAGAAGGAAGAGAAACAGAAATCAGAGTTTGCACTTGCAGCACTAGTTGTGTTGGATGAGGGAGTAGTTTCACAAAAATTAAGACTTTAATTTTAATTTTTATAAAACTAATCTCCCTCCTCTAAACTTTCCCTATTTCAAAAATAGAATCCAAAAAATTACAACGTCATGGCGTTAGGATGTCTTATCGCAGCGGGTCTCAATGAATGACCCATTTAATGAATGATTATGATGATCATTCTAACGTTAAAACAATGTGATTTTCATTTTTTTTTTGTTTCAGAAAAGACAAAGAAATTAAAGTTTAAGCGTTGCCCCTACGGCCACTGCTCTCGTATCAGACACGGTTCCATACTAATTACTGAATACTTTCAAAATTGGGCAGGACAGAGTAACGTGATGCTGGCAGCAACCTCACATGTGCGGAAGCAGCCATATGAGACCGTGTTTTTTTGAAGCGGTCTCTGTCGAGATTCGGAGGAAATTGCACCATTTGGGCCACCGATTCTGGGATTTGTATGATCAGCGAGACTTTCTTGTCCAATTTTCGTCTCTACATTAACAAATTTCAAAATAATAATGGTAAATGAGATTGAAATTTGAGAATAAAATATGAAATTAATAAGATAGTTTATGTTACATTACTTAAAATATTAAAAATAAATTTTATATTATTTAAGAATTAATTTTTTTAATTTATAATATTATATATGTTAATTAATTTAATAATATTATATAAACCACATCGTTAGTCTTAAATTTTTGTTTTTTCTAGGCAAAACCATAAGTTAAGGCCCTGAACGAATCACAGAATCGCTATTAAGCCCCTAGACTTTAATTGATGCAGTTAAGCCCTTGAACTCTGGGATCAAAGCAATTAAGCCCTTCTTCTTACGCTGTTAAGCCCCTAGACTTTAATTTTTAAAATAAATTGCTTAAGAAGAAGGGTTTAATTGCTTTGATCCCAGAGTTCAAGGGCTTAACTGCATCAATTAAAGTCTAGGGGCTTAATAGCGATTCTGGAGTTAGTTCAGGGGCTTAACTTATGGTTTTACCTCTTTTCTATTACTTCTCATTTTAAAATTACAATAAGATCCACACAATATGTGCACTCCTCAGTTGCTGATAAAAAAAGACAAAAAAAAAAAAGGGGCACTCCTCAGTCCGTCCTTTATTTCTCCCTTCCTCTCTCTAAAATTCCATCTCTCTTACAGAAGTAGAAGATAAACCAAACAGAGTTTTCTTGAAATTTTTCTTTATTATTAATTTTTTTTTAGAAATTGAAACCACAAAAATTAATTGTAACTTTGAAAAAATCTCTCTCAAACCTT